TATCAACCATATAGATTCACAGTAGAATGGGTAATTTATTTAAAGGTAGCCACTGCAGTATTATCAACCATATAGATTCACAGTAGAATGGGTAGATTTATTTAAAGGTAGCCACTGCAGTATTATCAACCATATAGATTCACAGTAGAATGGGTAGAGATTTATTTAAAGGTAGCCACTGCAGTATTATCAACCATATAGATTCACAGTAGAATGGGTAGAGATTTATTTAAAGGTAGCCACTGCAGTATTATCAACCATATAGATATGATTCAACCTCAGTACTTACTAATATACATTTATTACTTTTAATAATATAACTATATGTGGATCAGTTGGTTTAAGAACCCTAGAAATTCAACATATAGGATGTAGATAATTAAAAAATACACTACAAAACAAATTTCCATTTGTTGAACTTATGACTTTTTTTAACATCCAGTAGCAACTTGTAAGTAGAACCTTATAATTTCCTGCACTTATCAATCAAATGATCAATACCCAAAACTAACACACCTCATGTTTAGAGGTTACAGTGATGATGTCATAAAACAAGTATTTCAACACAGGCTCCCCAATATCAAGTAAGATAAACCAGGTCTTTGTCATAAAAAGAAAAACCAGATATTGATAAGACAACTACTGGTGGGGTAGGAAAAATTATTTATCACATAACTAGCACATGTTAACACCTTTAAATATTCCTGACTATAACACTTGAACAAAGTGGACAGTTTGTCAATCAAAATGTGAGAAAGAGAGAAATATTTCTGGTTGGTGTGATTCTGCCAACAGCAGGTTATGGAGTCACTACCACATTACATGCTATTCACTTTGTGAAAATAGTGTACCGATTTAATACACCATTCATTAATATATATAGCTCAAATTAAGGTTTAATATATATTTTATACAATGACTCGTTCTTATCTACTACAATAATAACTGACTAATCCTTGAAAGTTATATATTTCATCAAGGCAGTGGCTACAAGTATGGTTAACAGCAGAGAGCATTAGCTACGGGACTTCTGGAAAGTTAGCTCTGTCTACTGGGAAAGACCTCGCTCAACACAGCAAAGCCATGTATATCACTTGTATGTTATAGGCCAAGGATAAATCAGGTCAATTATCTTGAAAAGCATACAAGCCCACATCGTATCAATTACCATCACATTATTGCGATCATAAGAGGGCTTGGCAAGGTAAGGAGAAAATAACATATTGACCGTGAAGTATAAAACATCTACAACGCTTGCTAACGTTATACGTATAGCCACTTCCTTATACCACTAAACATTACAAAAGCATGGAGTAAAAGCTTAACCTCACTGGATGCAATTTATTCAAATAATAGTTTTACTACAAAAATGACTCCTACATTTTAAACTGCTCCTAGCCCTATCCACCTTCCTTTAGATTAAATAATTATTCACCAGTACAATCTATATACTACTAAAAATCTGAGATTGTTTGTTTGCTTGTCTGTAATTAAATACAGCAAAAAACGGCGCACAATAGTGCCATATTTGTAATGAAATGAGAATAGAAACAGAATAAAACAAATTTTGTTAAAATCGGGCCACGGTTACCGACATTTTTTGGGTCAACTGAATGAAAATTTCTAGCATGAGTAATTTTACATCACACTACCGTTCGCACTCTTTACGAAACTTCTTCGTTCATATCTATTTCCCTGTCAATATTCCCATTTTCATTAAAAGGCGTAGGATGACAAAAACAGATCTTAAAGATTTCTCAATAATGTGCCTTGGTTATGGTACGTAAATCGAAGAAAAAATA